GGGGGGGGGCGCAGGGCTCTCCGCTTGGCGCAACGGGCAGCGCACAGGGGATTGGCGATTCCCGTGTAAACGCGGCCAGTCTGGGCTGCTCTGCTCTCTACAGTACCGCCGTAGGAAAAGCACTACGGGCCGGGCTGGAGTCTCCCACTGCCTGTAGTGAGACCAGGTCCCGGCTGCCGCTGTGAGGAGCGGGCTGTGTTAGGCACTGTGCACGCGGAGCGCACGGTTTGCGCAGCGCTGTGGCATGTAACGATGCTGCCCAGCGCGACGGTGCGCGGGAGTCAGTGCTCTGCTGGCACAGACCTCGCCCGACTTTGGCGCGGGGAGGGGACGAGCATATCTGGCAGGGGGCCGTGCTCGGTGTTTCAGTGAATGATAAGTTTTCCGGGCGAGGCTGAACTCCCGCTACGCGCCTCAATAATTGTTCCCATTTCCCGTCTCATCCCTCCACCCGGCTGCTGCGGGGCGCCGGGTACCTGCCCTGAGTCGGACTAAAGGCGTCTGCTGCCCTTCTCGCCACTTTTATTTTTCACACTTTGCAATGAACTAGGACAAGCGAGTGCGTGTGTGGGATGAGGGGAGGATTATTGATCGCTGCTGTTCTCGGGGACCCGGGCTGGGGGGCCACAGAAATCCGTCCTGAGCATTAGAACCACACGGCAAAGCCCAGCTCGGTGTTCTAGTCGCGTCTTGATTCCCACAGTGGCTTCCAGCGTTGCGCGACGTGCTCGTGTATCTAAGCAAGATTTCTGTTGTAAGGTTGATAGTGTTTTTATTATTATTATCATTCAAAGGGATGGCCAGACAGCCAAGCCTCCTTAAGAGATCAATTAGTCTAGAGGGCCTAAGGAGCGGACTCGGGTTCGGATACCAAAATCAATAAGTGTAATTTAATATCTGCTCTGCTCTTTATGAAATATTTATCCCAATAATCTTAGTTAAAATGTTTAGCTCTCTCCGCTCTCCACTGGGGCTAAAACCCAGCCAGCGTTTAGAAGTTTGTAAAAAGGTGGACAGCTTTGAAACCAAGCACTCAAAGGAGATTTTGGCAAGAGGGTAACGTTAAAAAACGCGTGTGCAATGCCGCTAACTTATTCAAATATAAATAAAATATTTATAAACTGTGCTCACACATATTTTCGATGGGCGTAGTTCCGTGTATTGCAATGTTTTCTAAAAAGCGCAATAAATAGATGTTATACAGAAATTGTTCTCAAACCACGTTTCTTTCCATTTAGACTGGACCCAAATAGCCAAGCCTATGAACTGGCTGGGAGAACTGTCCCTTAGAGCTAAACTAG